TAAACTTACCTATCATAAACTAATATTTGAACGTCGTAAAGAAGTAGTTTCGTAAGAGAAAATTCAGTTCTGAGTACAAATGCAAAATGGTAACACGCGAGGAACAGCCACTGAAAGAGGATACTGTAAAGAAGAAAAGTTTAAAAGAGAAAATAAAGTATATTAAGGATAACATAACTTTAGAACCAGTTTTGGCTGGGTACGTGATACCAGGAGTTTTGTCCAGACTTGCAACACAAAATTTGAATCTAGACAAAGCATGTCGAGTGAATTTACAATACGGCGATGTTGTTTGCGACGCATTAATCGCAAAAGAAGGAAACCAATATCAAAGAGAAGAATTAGAAGTACAACAGCTAATCGCTTCAATGGAGACATGGAAGAATATTATTTTATCCGCATTGCCTTGTTTTCTTATTTTATTTATAGGCGCATGGAGTGATAGAACTGGCAAACGAAAAATCTGCATTTTACTTCCCATACTTGGAGACCTATTAGCTTGTTTGAGTAATATATTGAATGCGTATTTCTTTTATGAGTTGCCAGTTCAAGTAACGATGTTTTTTGAAGCTTTCTTACCAGCTATCACTGGAGGATGGATAACAACGTATATGGGTGCATTTAGTTACATCAGTGATATATCTTCTGAAGAGACAAGAACGTTTAGAGTGGGCATTGCTAATTTATGTCTAACTGCCGGTGGACCAATAGGAACAGCTCTTAGTGGAATACTGTTAAAGTTTATTGGATATTATGGAGTATTTTCATTGAGTTCCTTTCTATACGTTTGTAGTATATTACACGGCATATTTTATATTAAGGATCCTGAACGACCAATGCTAGAAAAGAACGCTAAGGTAATTTTATTAATATATTGAGCCTTGGAGTATTAGAACTAAATATACAAAAGCGTTTGTTTGTTATGAAGATTATACAAGAAAATACAAAGAGAATAAAAAATGTTAATTTCTCTTAATTATTGAGTCACTTTAACTTACTAGCCCTTTTTAGTGCTATTGTGTACTAAAAGTAAGCTACAGTCGTTTAAATCGACAAACTTTGGATATTGTAAAACTTAGTAGAAGACTTCTTAGGATTCTTTAGAAACCATATTTATAGATTAAAAAAGATTATTCACAGAAATGCAATAAAAAACACTTACAGGATACACCTTCGAGCGTTGGAACATTTCTTAAATCATTTTTCGACATCCAGCACGTAAAGGATACGCTGACGGTTGCTTTCAAAAAGGGTCCAAACAAAAGAAGAACAAAATCAATTCTCATCCTTGCGTCAATAGCATTTATCTATGGACCAGCTTATGGTATGAATACTTCATTTGAATGATAATCCATATCCAAAATCCAATATCCAATCCATAAGCCAAGATCCATATCTTGGCTTGATAACTGTGCTTAGCACAACTCTCTCTCTCTCCCTCACACACACGCGGATTCATACACGCACACACACACACACACACACGCACTCACACAGCAATAAAAAGCTTGCTCCATCTCTATAAAATTTTTGATTTATGACATAAAAAGACATCAATTTGGTGAGTTTTTTTAATTCTAATGTTTATCTTAATTATTTTTCAGGAGAATATACAATACGATATCTTTTCACGAGATATCGTTTCAACTGGGATGCCGTCAAGTACAGTTTTTACAATACTTTTTATATTTGCATTCATGCGTTCGGTACGTATATTCTCAAGACGATAATATGATGTGACATATATTGTGAGCAAGATTACAGAAATTGTAATATTATACGTTTTAGTATTAGTTGTTTATATTATAATAAAATATGAAATTTTCAGGAGCTCTTGTATCCATAAGCCTTTTCAGTCGGAAGTTTAAATGGGACGATGCTACGTTAGGTCTTATTTCGAATGCGAGTAAAATGGTCGGTGGCTTGGCGACTGGTTTATCAAGAAACAGCCTGGATATGTACTTAGGTGATTTTTATTTATTTCACTAAACACGAGAACACATTTATTTATACTTACTAATATTATAAATGCCAATGTTTGGATGGATGGATGGATAGATTGTTTGTTTGAAGGTATCTCCAGAACCGCTGAATGGATATCACTGAAATTTGGCAGAGATTTAAAACATAGTCTGGAAGAACATATTGGCTACTACTTTTTTATCCTTGACGAACAGTTTCACAGGCGACAGCTAGTTTTCAAAAAATATGGCTTTAATTTGTTTCAGCTGTGGCAGTGGAAATGTTTAACGCAACATCATTTACAGCTTTAAGATCGATATCATCGAAACTTGTTACGAGTGATGAATTGGGTTTGGTTCATTTAGTATTTTGTAAACTACACACAAGTTAATTATAAATTAAGATTGTTAGATCCAACAACATAACATGTGCCGGGAATTGGCCTGTTGACCAGCTTGACTGGTGGAATACAATGACCTTACAGAACATAGCCGAAGGATACGCAGTGATCCTAATATTAAACACCAAGAACAGATCTCTAATCTTAAAAGCTTTAGAAGACTACATTTAACTCTATCGATTAAGTCAGACCTTTTTGTCTTTCATAATAAATCCATTCAAAACTACTAAACGTCATTCACTTTTATAATGACCTCTGTCAGTTTTAGTTTAAATTATTGTTGTTTTTAAGGTAAAATGACGTCATTCTTTAATCTGATGGAGGTGCTAACATCGATGATGTTTGGTCCATTCTACTCCTGGTTGTACATGATGACATTGAAGATAGACGCCGGCATCGTATTCTACCTCAGCACAGTCCTCACTGTACCTCCTATATTGATTTTTGGGTACGATAACGATCATCATTATATTTTAAGAATGCCGTTGCCTTTGTCGTTGGAGCATTTTCCATCAATGTCTAATTTCCTGTCCCATTCTTTTGAATTCTTGTTGCAACACGACTTTTACTCATTTATTGTTCTTTGACATTTTTCTTTTCTACTTTTCCTTTCTTTATTGTGGTTATTAGATCTTCGTGTTGTATCGTATATCCTAGCATCTTTCCTGTCCCATTTTACATTGTTTTCAATATTGTTCTCTCTTACTCTATCTAGCACTTTCTAATTTGTTGTTTTACAATGAAGATTATGGATAGCTTCTCCAGCACCGCATTTTAATAGTACTTTTTTGGTAACTTAATTTATTTTAATTAATTCCAGATGGTTTTTCATTCACAACAGAAACAAACGGCCACAAAAATGTAAAGACATGGCTGGCGAACAAGATGAGTGTAAAAATGCACAAGAAAAGAACAAGGATGATTTGCTCAGCAGTATTGACTTAACGGACAATAAAATTTTTATTGAATAAACGATGTAATATATGTATCTTAAAAAAATCTGAAACAGTTTGTTATTTCATATCCTAAAGATTAATATAGAAAAATGTATATAGAAAAATGGTCGTAAATTTTAGAATTTCTTAGCTGTCAAAAGTAATTGCTTCTCTTTACCCTAGTCTTTTCCTTAATAGAGGAAAATTTCTTTAATTTCTTGCCTCGCACAGTCGAGTTGTGGAACGGTCTGTCCTCGGCGGTATTTCCAAACCAATACGACTTAGGAACTTTCAAGAAGCGAGCATACCATTTCCTTAAAGGCCGGCAACGCATCTGCGGTTCCTCTGGTGTTGCAGATGTCCATGGGTGTCGTTGATCACCTCGGTGTTCCCGCAGCTCGTTTGCCCCCTTCTCTTATAAAAAAAAATCGCACACTTCTTTTACTTCAGTAATTTATGTTTTCATGCATATGAAATAGATAATATATTGCAGAACCTAGAGAGTTCAATGGACCATGATAATCTTCTTACTTATACAGGTTTCAGGAGTATCCCGATTCGTATCTATAAGAAACCAAAATAATGCAGTAATAACGGTATACCTTGTCGTGAAAACGACTAATTGTCCTACTTTAATATCTTCTTTATTTATAATTATAACAAAAAGATGGTATAGAAATATAGTCAATGTTTCATTATAACAACACAAATAGATGCTGATTATAAAAATACAGCTAAATAAAGTTTAGACTCATCTGAAAGGTCAGAAAAGCCATAACCTGAATATACATCTGTGTATGACAAAAGTTACTGTAATAAATGTAATCTTTCCTACTGCTACATTTAATAGCATAGTACCTATAGTGATTGTTCATATAAAAAGGGTGTGGTCGACCGGACAAAATCGGTTTAACTTGACATCGCGAGTAACTCGCGACTTCCGTCGCTAGTTAGATATGTACACTCTCATATAACGTCATATGTCGCGACTGCGCCCGCGCCCTCGAGTTTGATATAAACTAGCACAAACCCAAAATGTGTTGAGATTTGATGTACTGTCTTATATTACTGAAACAAATTAAAAATCAAAAATTAACACACGCTGATGTTGCTAAATAAGTATAAAGTTGTTTAAAAAAATAAAACTGCAATGTAGAATCCGTTATCTAAAACTATATTTTTCTTTATACGATAACATTTTGTAGATGTTAAGAATATTATTTGCTGTTGTATTTATTTAGTAGCAGACAGAAGTCCATTATCCAAATGCAAACATCGCAGTAATGCAATTATGTGAGGTGTTGTAATTCATAACGATCTCTTGTTAAATCTTTATCACGTCATGGTCGATATAGAGGTAACGTCAACACCCAGTGCAAATAGTTAATTATGAGTGTATTTAACAAAGATAATAGCACTATAGTATGTTTCTTTTAAGAAAAAAAATCAAAAATTGAAAGTTTTTTAGGAATTCGTAGTGTAAAAACCAGTTTTCAAAAAAATGTATATCTTACGATTAATATTTTATTAGGAGACAAAAGTAGTTAAATCCATGCAGTGGAATGTTCTTATTTTGTTCTGAAATTATAAAATGTATAGGGATCAGATTGTTTCATATCTGTGGCATTATTGTTTATTTATCCTTATGCCAAAAAAACGATGTCTTCCGTGACATATTTATGACACATGACATAATAATTATGGCTTTTTTCTTTGATGTTTTATACAAGATAGAAAACATTTCAAATAAATCCTCAATAAAGATACATCCTGTACCAGGCATTTGATATAACATTTCGTTTTGTTTTTCTATCAAGCTTCATATTTAACACGATAAGTTACTACCTCAGAAACTGGTAAACACAAATTATCATTAGTACGATTGAAGCTTTCATTCCGTACAAAGTATTTAGTAATGTCTGGAACTAAAGAGAAAAGTTCTGTTAGTCCAGAAGAACAACCTTTTGATGAAAAGAAAGAAATTAAGAATAAATTTGAAGATAAGACTTTTTTTGAAAAATTATGTGCCATAAAATCGAATATTACAGTGGAGCCAATCCTGGCTGGACTGATTATACCATCAACATTGTCTCGTCTTGCAGTTCAAAATTTAAATCTGGATAAAAGTTGTCGAGTCAAGCTTAACTTTGGTGATGAAATTTGTGATGCATTACTACAACGGAATGGTAACCTAACTTATTATGAAGGTGAAGTACAAAAAGTCATATCCTCTATAGAAGCATGGAAGAGCATCATACAGACTGCTATACCAACATTATTAGTAATATTTATGGGTGCGTGGAGTGATAGAACTGGTAATCGAAAATTGTGCATACTTTTACCGATTTTTGGAGAATTCCTCGTCTGCATTAGTAATATTATTAGCACGTTTTTCTTCTATCAAGTTTCCGTTGAAGTGACGATGTTTCTCGAAGCTTTGTTTCCAGCTGTAACAGGCGGATGGGTGATGGTATACTTGGGCGTGTTTAGTTATATAAGTGATATCACCAGTGAAGAATCCAGAACGTTTAGAGTTGGACTTGCCAACTTGTGCATGACAGCCGGTATTCCTATAGGAACAGCGCTTAGTGGGATATTACTCAAAGTACTTGGATATTATGGAATCTTTGCGATAGCTGCGTCTATATATGTAATTACCTTATCTTATGGATTATTTTACCTGAAGAAAAATTCTAAGCCAAGTTCCGAAGAAAACGAAGAGGTAAAGTATTCTTGCAAAATTAGTATTTTAAGTGTAAAACTTGAATTTATTAACATACCAGCGGTCGCCTGCAACTCCGTCCGTGCGTGATAAAAGAACGTAATTAGTAGCCTATGTGTTCTTCCAGACTATGTTTTATATGTATGCCAAATTTCAGCGAAATCCGTTCCGCCGTTCTGAAGGTACCTTCTAACAAACATCCACCCATTCGTCCATCCATCCATCCATCTAAACATTCGCATTTATAATAATAGTAAGATATCAGAATATGAGAAATCCATTTGGATAGATCCTCGCATTGCAAAATTCTATTTTTGGGATAATTTGGGAGACGTTTCTAATAATTAATTTTGCTGTTCCTAGACGAAGTCTGTGACAATATCAGAACTTGCTACATTAGTAAAAGAAACAGTATTAGTTGCTTTTAAGAAACGAGATGGTAAAACAAGAAAGAAAATTCTCATTACTTTATTGACAGTTGCTATTGTTTATGGACCTAATCATGGTAAGTGAACGTGTTAAAAGATTTCCAAAATTCAGCGACTTTAAAAGTGAAAAGTAACATCAAATTCCAAGAGAATTTACAGCCATAAGTATAGCAGTAATCTTGGAACTTTAACATCAAACATAAAGGCAATAAGTTTACTACGAAAATGTACATAAAAATATGATTATATGCACATAGATAGAAATCATTAACAGCCTTTCAATCTATTGCTTAACCTTTGACTTCTCCAATGACTTCCACAATATACGTCTCTCCACGCTTCCCTTCCAGTGACTTTCTGCGGTCTAAACAAAGTCACACCACATGGAAGTTGTCTTATGCTTTATCGTGGCCTATATCTCCAGATTTTCTTCCACATTAATGTCGTCATAAATACGACAAACGTGACCAGCTCTATGCCTCTAAAGTTTACCAACCTCTAAATTAGTGATCCTAAAATCTTAGATGTTGTGACTGTTTGGAAAGGAGGTAAGGTCTTTGACAGCACGTCGCGGTGGTAAGTTAACACGATCCCGTGGCGTCCCACATTATGGCTATGAGGGAACAGAGGGGTTTAGTGGGTATGCTCCCATTCGGGGAGAGAATCCCACATAACTACCGTGCCTTCCCCGAGGCATATGCCTAAAGCATTCCCCTCTGAAACAAAAAAAAGGTCTTTGACAGCACAAATTATTTTATTTTTAATTATTGCCCTTAAATTGAATTGTCTTTTTCAGGTGAAAGAATTATAACGTATATGTTTGTGAGATATCGTTTAAAATGGGACGCTGTTAAGTATAGTCTTTATTCAACATACAGTATCATCACGCATTCGCTAGGTAAGTGTTATGTAATTAAATTACATAAAACTCTTTATATACTTTCCTTATTTACTCATCGTATAAAGAGACTTATATTTAATCATGATAAATATATAAATAGATCAAAGAGGACTATGGTAGCGTGAATGACGCATTTACATTTAAGGATATACAAATATTTGAACACGATTGTCCTTATATCTGTAATTTACTTTCTACGTTTTAATTATAACCGAGAACAAACAAGACATTCTTATAGAAAAATATAGTCGTCTCTTACATTCTATCTGTAAAATATGAAACATAACCACAAGCCACGGCCATATATCCTAAGGTATAACAATCCGATATTAGGGCAAGTAGCGGTCTGAGTAGCTAAAGATTTTCAACTAAACTGTAGTTAGTAATTAGAAGTACTTCTAGTGGAATGTTTCAGCTAATTGAACGATAAGACTGAACACAGATAAGTAGCCATGTATTATCAGTCATCACGCTTTTTAAAATAATATCGTATGTTTAAAATGATGGAATTTCAATTCAATCCAATCATCTACATACTGATAAATAATAGTTTATTATTAGTAACTTATTCATTTATTTAACTTATTTTTAATATATTACATTTCATATAAAAAATAAAAAATAATACAAAATATATTATATTAAAAATAGAGCACCACCGACTGCGGAGTCCCATGACTCAAACAACCAGTGGTCAGGGCTGCAGAGACAGGAACCTTCTCACGATGCGTGCGGTTTCTAGGATAACTGCCTTTTGTATCGGGACCTTAATCCAACTGTTTAGCGAGAGCTTCTTGAGATGTTGGTCGAAACTCTTCGCTATCAATCCATTCACCGATACGACTATAATGGTAGTCGATTTTATACATTTCGTTTCATTTATAATAAGTGTTAGTTACTAAACCATAAATGCATAGATATCCCTAAACCGGAGTACAAAAGTTAGGCGAAGCTTTCGTTGGCCTTTTTTTATGAAAATAAATCAAAAACAACCTCTTATACTATTTTTAGTAATGTTTTAAAATATTTTTTTTACTTTTCATAAAAATGTAATTATAAATTGTGACATTTTAAAAAGACTTGATATTTTTTAACAAAAACAAACCACAATATTTTATAATTATACAATGTTTATTTTATTCGTTTTCTTGCAGGAGCACTATTTTCAATAACCGTCTTCAGTAAGCGATGGGGTTTTCATGACTCTTTGCTATGTCTGATATCTATAACTAGTAAGTTGGCTGGCTCTGTGTTTATTGCTTTCGTCAGAACTGACTTCGAAATGTTTATGGGTAAGTTATGTAAATAACAGGAAACTACAACTATTCTGTGAACCTAACACGAATATTTGTGACATTTGCATTCGTATCGTCATTGTCAATTATGGCGAAATTAGTATGAAATTTATTGATGAACATTTTAATACAAATTTTGTCGAAGATGATACGATGGCGATTGTCGCAATTCGTGCTAGCTTCACGGATTTCTTTCGTAATTTAATACGAGATTAATGCGTCAACTCGTCTTAATCATCATCATCATACCTGACCTTGAGTAAACCGCTCTGGTGATTCGGCGCTTCAGGTTTTTGTCCATCAAATTTTATATTATTCTTTCTTTCAATCGTCACTCTCTTTTTAACCATATATCTAGACTAATTTGCTGAAGTAATATTTAAATGTATGTAAATACAATAAAGTAACGCAAAAATATTATTTCCTATCATATTTTTGGCCTTATTTAGCATAATAAGGTATAGTATTTTGAGGTAAACATAAGACGCAAAACGTTACTGCCTGAGAGAATATTACAGTGTAATACAACTCAAAGCATCCAGTAAATTCAGCTCGCTCGTAAAACCAGACTGGATTTACTAAATTACGGTCTGCCATCAAAATAAAACCATAACTATAAACGGCTCATACTTTTCTCTTATTAATCTATCTTGTTCCGGACAAACAACTTGATGTGAAGGAAAAAAATGTTGCCAATTTTAATGTTCATTTATTTATATCACGTTTGTAAATTTATGAACTTAATAAAACTAGTTGTAATAGACGCTGCAAAATTATTCTTCTTCGGTTCTTTCCATCTCCTCTCCGGTCTTTCGTATTCCAACTTTCTTGCTTATAAATTATCAAACAACTAGTATTTGGCAGCGATATCAAGGGCATGAAATTAAAAAAAAAGATCCAGCATTAAATATAGCCATGTCACCTGTGGATATTTTAGCCACCAATTTCCAACAGTACAAGAATTTTTCTAATCGCTTCAGTAGTTGAGGCGTCTATTGATTATATTTTCATAAACGAACTAGCAACTTATCAATCATATAGGAAATAGCAAACGTAGAGGATGTTGTATTTTTCGTGAACTTAAACAATTTTTTTTTGTTTATTTCAGTGCCCATAGTGGAGATATTGAATGCGTTAACTTTTACGTCACTAAGATCGATGATATCAAAATTGGTGTTAAACGAGGAAGTTGGTTAGTATACCATATATTTATTTATTTCAATACTACGATTTATATGTACCTACTAACTGTATCCCGCGTCTCCGTTCGCAGTATGAAAAAAAAACCTAATAATTAGCCACACTATATAATCCAAATATCAGACCATCAGGCAGACCATCTGTGCCAAATATCATCAAGATCCGTTGAGCCGTTCCGGTGATATCATCTAACAGACATCCATCTAAACTTTCGCATTTCTTGTTACATATTTATAGTTGCCTTTAAAAACTATATAAAAAGCTAGTAATGTTGCTCATGAAATGAAATAATTCAATCGATTTTTTTTTCGTATCAAAATTCAGTGGTGGAAAAAGGTAGAGAAAAAAGAGCCTTCTTGACTACTAGTCAACTAGAAAACAAAACAGTAGAGATATTCAAATACATTTTTTTAAAATAATTTTTCAGGAAAAATGAACTCCTTATTCAGTTTGGTGGAGACACTCGCGGCTTTGGTCTTCGATCCGACGTATTCCACTCTGTATGCCAAAACGATACCAATATTTGCGGGTACAGTTTACATATTCAGCGCTGTCATGACTCTACCACCGATCTCAATGTTAATGTGAGTTTTACCACTCTATTTTATATGAACAAATTCTTCTTTTGTATTTTATTTTGAAATTACTAATTTAGAATAATTTAGCGCGAATGGCGCGCATGACACGCTCCCGTCACCACGTTAAATGTCAAACTCTGTAAGCGTCGATATTTTAATAAGACTAGTGTTGTGCCGGTAAACCGGCACAGAATCGGGTTTTTTTTCTAACAGTAGATAATAAAACGTATGTTTTTTTTTAATAGTTATTAGTTTTTATTACTAAAGCAACTGTTTTCTTTAAAAAAAAACAGGGGGATATATTTTTGTACGTGTTGTCAGTTGAAAAATACAGAAGTCTTTTTACGATGTGATTATATATGGTGTTTAATATTTAATTTTATTAAATTGAATACAATAATTATGGTATCGAACACTATTTATATTTAAAATTTTTACTTTAACTGATGTCTTTTTTTCAGTTGGTTGTTCACCCAACACCGAAGAGATAGAAGACTTAAAAGAATGCAAGCTACATCCTGTGATATTATGCAGCCTACGAATGAAAAAATAAAATCTTAATGGTACCCGGACTTAACTTTATCTTATAAATATTTGTTACTATCTTCAGAGTATTTGTAAGGTCATGTTATTTTAGACCTATTTTTTCCTTGTGAAAGGAGTAAGTATTGTTTAATGCCATCATTTTTTGAAATTAAGAAATATTAATTAATAATGTCTTAAATTTTTATAGTACTAAAACGAAATTGAAATTATAAACACTCATCTGTAGTAGATACCAATTTTGAAACTTTACAACTGTATTTATGAAATGAATTTGATTTCTTAAAGTAAAATAAATCTTAATTCAATAGTATTTACTCCGAAATTGTTAACTAATGTGTAAACTAATGTGTACTAGTTTTGCATGACAGTTGTAAGATTGGCTTTTGAATTGCGTGTAGGTTAAATAACTATAAAATGAGTATCGAGATATTATAATGAGTATATTGTGAGTACATAGGATGATTTGATAAGAAAATTAGATCTTTAAGGACGCAGCCTGTGTTTTAATTAAAATTAAATTAATTATAGACATGGCCGAAAAATGGCCATCTACAAAAAAGAAGTAAAAATAATTAATTTTTTAATCTTAAGAATTTTATACTATGTTATTTTATTTTTGTAAAATAAAGTTTATTCTGTAAAAAATATTCGTTTCTAATTACTCTACTACGTATTTTAATTTACGTAAATTAAAAATATTTATTAAAATTTGTAAACAAAATGCATAACAACAATTCTTTCAATGACCATTTGAAATACTTAAACAATGTTCCAGACCAGTCACTACTCAATTGAAACAAATGCACAAATTTTTTTTTTTGGGCAGGTAATAGTGCTTTTAATCACGAATACGTACATTATATTCTTGTACATAAATTCGCATAGTTCATAAAGCAAGTGACATTAATAAGACAACATAACTTTCGACGACAACAGTTGAAAAGCCGCAAAGGACGCCTCCACCTCGTACTGATAAAGTTACGAGCCAATTGAAACTACGAACTGTTATAACAAGTTATTGAACCAACAGCTGTTTCAACTTATTGAACAAATCCGCATCGCCGTCTATAATTTCTATTTGCCTTGTTGTTTGCTGGAGTATTAAGAAAATTAGTCCCAATACAACTATGGTAGAGCCCGCTTTAAAATCTTCGCACGAATTGGCCCGGCTCGCCCGGTGAAATACCACGACCACACAGAAGACAGGCGTGAAGTGGATAAGTGTGCGTCCCGGAGGCCTAATTTAGTCTTGTTTCCCTTCCCACCCTTTTTCTTATAAGGAAAGGATGGAAAGTGGAAGTGGACTTTCCGGACGAGAGGATGCATGGAAAGGGAAAATATTTTCTCTCTGTGCATCCTCTTCTCCGTCGATTAAAGGTAGGCAAAGCATATGCAATTGCGTATGTCTATGGGCAACGGTCACTTCGCTATTTTAGCTATTTCAGGTAGCCGCTCGCTCGTTTGCCACCTTATGATATAAAAAACTATCTAATATTAGTAAGATGTGCATCAGTTTAGGCATCCATGAATGTTTATATAACGGCAAACTGATGCAGTAACAACAGATCATAGACAACGTAACACTAGAATTATACAGATGACCGCTCTACCTAATAACCGGAAGGCTACTAAATATAGGTATAGTGGCTATATCAAATGACATAACCTTGATAGAATCCAATTTAATGTTGCTTCTTGCAAATGAAAATAAAATAATGATCCATGTTTTCTCAAACAGAATATGAATAACTTTAAAGACACTGCAGTTAAATGTTCATTTCCAAGTTTAGATGGACGGATGTTTGTTTGAAGGTATCTCCGGAACAGCTCAACCGATTTTGATGAAATTTGGCACAGATCTAGAACTTAGCCTGGAAAAACATATAGGCCAATTATTATTTTTTTTTAATTCCGCGTAGGCTAAATCGAGGGCAACAGTGAGTGCATTATTTTGATTTTATGCCACTACTTCCTTTTGTAATGTAATTTTTAGTTGATTTTATTCTCGTTTTGCTCTTCTCTTCAACAATTTACTTTGATGGTACAACAGATATTCGTTTAACTGTGATTTATACATATTGGCATCTCATTCATTCTGTTTTATAAGACAAAGATAAAAAGTTAAATTAACAGCATTTTAAACCGCCTGTATGTGTTTAAAACATTGATCGTCTATTGTTTAAATCATTTTTGCTTGTTGAATAAACTAAAGTTCGACATCGACATTGTTTGAATAATCTTCCCGATTATTTTTCTGTGAAATTACAAGGCATGGACATAAGTTATGTTATGAAAACCATTGTATCAATATCGTATCTAAATAAAAATCGAATACATACGGTAGATACGGTGTGTTCAATTTTTCCATATGTGTCTATCATCATCTCCTTATCCTTATGGCAATCATGTAGGGTTGGCGCATAAGTTTTCGTCCTCCAGGTCGATTAACCTTACGTAATTTTGTCATCACTTCCTTTTTAAACATAACACCTTTCACACATTCATATTGGTCTACTCCTAATGATCTCTCTCAGCTGTCATAAAATTGAAACACATGATAATATAATATTAGAAGTGGAAAAATAATAAGAGTAAATTGTTAGACTAGTAAGTGATAAAAAATTTTGGATACCTATCTCTCATACTCATTCAAAATCATTACAAACAGGGTTACGTTCTTTTTTCAAATGTTATAATTAGTGAAAAAAATCCGAGTAGCTTTAATATTCCGTTGCTATGGGAACTAAACAATATTTTTAATCAAAAAGCTTGAAGTTCGAGCAACGAACGATAACAGTACTTCATGTTATCATTCAATTAATGTCAAACACTTAAGAGAAAGTTGACCAAAATACTTACTAGGCTGAAATATGTTATCACTAGAGTTCATTGACAATAAATACTTATAAATACTACTCTTTGATAATATTAAAAAAGAGGATTTATTATAATAATTTAAAAAAATCTAGCTGGAAGACTGTCAGGGGAAGAATAAATTGAATGACGTTCGATTTACTTTAGTTTAGGTTCCATACGATCTTAATGGAACTTACATAAACACAATCCAATTTACGTACACACGAGAAACATTATCTTATTGAGACAAAGTACAAATAGTTAAAATTTTATTTTAATTTAATTTATTTTATAAGTCACTTTTTCTTGTAGACATTTATACCTCTATTCACACGGGCGCTTTTTTAACGCGCGTTAAAAAAACCATTCAAATATAACAAATGCATTTCGACATAGGTATGTATCTGTTCATACGGCAGCGGTTTTAAACCGCGACCTTTTTTATAGTGCAGCATTTTGAGTACTGGGCGAATGAAATAAGAGTGAGTTCAAAGCGTTCGGCGCTCAAGAATCTAACACCGACTTTAAAAGCGGCGTTAAAAAAAACACCCGGGGGACTAAGCGACACACGGCTTAGATTGTGACTCAATGAAGTTGATAAATAACAATATCATTAAAGACAATATTATTAAGCGATATTCGACAGTTGATGGTAATTATGTTATCATACATATTTATATCTAGTCAGTGTAAAGTCTCATTAAAATATCAACACTATTCTCGTAGCTTATAAAAACCGATCCGAATCTTACTAATATTATAGATGCGAATGTTTATATGGATGGATTTTTGTTTGAAGGTATTTTCAGAACGACTGGACGTTTCTCGATGAAATTTTGCATACATAGAACATAGTCTGGAAGAGTACATGGGCTACTAATTTTCTTTTTTTTGATACCGCCCGGACGGAGTCGCGGGCGACCGTTAGTTATATTATAAGCTTGAGAGCCATGTTTCCAAGAAATTAACCTAGATTTAATGCGATAGTGTTATTGAAAATCTTATTTAACAATACAATTACTGCAATAAAGATACGACTAAAACGTGGCAGCAATATTGACCTTTCTCTGATCTGATAATAAAACTAATTTAATTATTAATATTATATGAATATTTATTGAAACGAGTTTTGTTTCGGTCTATTTTAACACATTTTTATACAGTTTATAACCATCTATTTTGTTATTGTTAAATTTGGCTTACATTGGCAAACAAATTCGAACTTTTACAGTTATTAATACAGGGAAAACAGACTGCAATAAGAAGACGTACATCTTGACTGAACAATTGCGCCAGTGGTGTCACAAGAGAATCATCATCACTCTCACTATACGTCCGGACTGAGGGGCTCGGAGCCTACCCTAAGTTAGGGGCGATTAGGCCATAGTCAACCACGCTGCCGGTTGCATCGCGATGTTTTCCTTCACCGTAAGAACGTCGGATAAATATACATATGTAAATCGAAAATCAAAAAACACATTGGTACAGGGCGGGCTCGAACACAAGCCCTGAAGATTGGAAGTCAAGTGCTTAAGACACAAGAGAATACGTTCCTTATTTAGAGCTCCAATGTAAAACGTTCAAGTTGCCATGATTGTCAACTTTAGATATAAGATGGCAAAAATGGCGCAAATAAACAAAATAATTTTGACCAATTGTAATAATCTTTTAAATTCTTAGTGACTTTTTAAATATTATAACAACCTAATCAGGCCTCTAAATATTTAGTAAATTATACACTATTTTATATTCTACTAGTTGTAATAAATTTAAGCTGGACATTTTTACACATTCATGACACATTAACCTTCGATAAACATAATCCCATAATCTTCAATTCACTGATACAATATTTCCTACCAATATTTTAGCAAATATATTTATATCATAGTTTAACATATCTTGAAGAATAATAAACTTTGAACCGCACGACATTTTCTTATTTCCCACGGATAGTGTTTATTTGATATAAGCAATGCTATTAGCCACAAAACTTGATAATTCTTAGCGCTTTGCTTCTGCTGTACGAATCTGAACACTACTGACGCAATATTATTTCATCCTTGTTCAAATCAAGATATTTACATCTACAATGTACTCATCATCAACCTGCCTTTATCCCTACAGAGAGTCGGCACAGTATGTGGAGTACATAAATCCATAAATCTCTATCAGCCGTCTTATCTGACTTCACCCCTTCTTTTCTTTGGTCTTTTTCTTTTTTGTTTATGTGTACAATAAACTGCAGGTAATGTATTAAATGTGGTCACTCTGTTTATAATATAAAAGCTGTAGCTTTAAGACCACTACCGTCCTTGCTATTTTAATAAATATAATATTCACCATTTGATATCACTTGGATTCTCTGCACTCGGATCAACCGCAGTCGTGTCTCCAATTACCTACTTAAGCAATTGCGATCAACCGGAACATCCTTTGTACGTTACAAGTTCAACATCTAAATGTATATTAACAAGGTAAAAGAATTTTGTACACAGCTACGATAAACGAACACAGCAATTGACTGATACGAAATACCCACAGCATAGCACTAGCTACTTAATAAGTTGCAAATGTGAGCCCCTTATTTATTAAATAAAGGATAGGATAAACAAAAAAAAAGGTTATGTTCAGCTCTAGCTATCTCTTTTCCAAAAGAATCTATTTCTAAAGAATCTTCTCTTTTCCATATTAGAAAAGCGTGAGAAAAGAAA